GCTTCCCCAGCTCAGCACCACTCTTGTCCTTAGTCAATGTCCTACTTAGCTGAGATACTGTCTCCTACCCCTTTGGGAGCTTCCCTGATTTTCAATCTAACACCTTTATCAACCACTTACTACAAGCATCATGTGGAGTCCATAATTTAATTTATTTCTCATTATCTTTACAGTTAAAAATGTCACGCTCCAATTCTTCTAAGAAATTCACATTACTGCAGTCAACACTCAGTGTTTCTGAGATGTGTCATTTTCTGCTAGTGCTTTGCAAAATTTTCCCTCTCCTTTTGTTTTTTGGTTTTACTGGAACATTTTAATCGGCTCTTAAAGGGTATGGAGTTTAACAAATTGTAGCAGTTCATGCCTTGCTGCTTCTGATGTGTGTCCAGCTCAGTTCTAATTGTGGAATCACACAGTTTCCTCTCCTTGGCATCCTTTGGAGCAGCATAGACCTGGATCACAGTGGAGTTAAAAATCTGTGTTCCTGAACAAGTCATGATGGTAATTAAGTTGCCTGGTTTGTAGCCAAGTGGTGCTTTTCTGTCCCTATCACTTAGGATTGTGCCAGTTCCTCTTTTATGCTTTATTTTGTCATGTGAGAAAACGATTCCACTATCTGCTGTCTCTCACTTGCCTGGCCACCTGGCTTTTAAGAGGCCTTCTATGTCATGTCGCTACCTTTGTAATTCATTCATTAGCAAGAATATTTCACCAGGGTGCCAACACAGTCTTACATTCCAGGTTCTGTTAGAACTAAAGAGGGGAGGTGATTTTTACCTGTTAGACATGCTGATAATAAAATACTACATATAGTTCTGCCTTCCACACTTTAAAAAGGATGCAGGAGAATTTCACTGGATCAGAAAAGTTACAAAAAGTCATTTGAGGGCTGTAGGAGATATGTTCCTAGGAAATGTATAGGGAGCTGAAGGTGTTTAGCATATCAAAAGGAAGATCAAGAAGAGATATGATTATAGTGTATGAGTTCCTGCACTAGAAGAAAATATAAAACACTAAAGGGTTTTTCAACCAGTAAGGAAAGGCATAGAAAGAACCAAAGGCCAGATATATTCAAATTAAAAATAAATCTGTAATATATTTCTAAAATTTTGTGTGATTAACACATTGAACACAGTTTCAGACAAGTCGTAGATTCCCCTTGAACCTTCAAATCTTCCTCCATGGGAGCTGTACCCTGTTTTTGAGCAATTCATCTGTGATAACTTTGGCACATGAGCTTGTTGCACTTTGTGGTTTTTCTCCCTTCTGATCTCTCAAGTCCTGAAAATCCAGCTACACATGGTGCCTGGTAGTGTTCGCATGCAGAACTGATAGGTGGGATACGTGCCCCTACGCCTCTTTCCAAAAGGCCAGCCAGCCAGGGAAATTGTTCCAGTGCTATTGCTCACCACTTGAAGTGCTGAAACCTGTGTGCACTGAAGGAGCCATACAGCATGGAAGATACAAAAAACTCAAACTGCACTAAAAAAACTACAGATACCTGAATGTGATTTATAGTCATGCTTGGAAGTCTGTCTGTGGAGTTAATGGCAATTTTTTTTCAATAATTCTTCAGGCTGATCTCATTACAGGTGGAAAAAGTCTTTGCCCTTACCAGCACCATGTAAATTCCTTAAGAAACAGGATTGTACAAAGTTACTATTTTCTCTTGTTTCCAGCGTGACAGCTGCTGGTCATATGCAGCTTATGGCCTTCTCAAAATGGGTGTAATTTTTCATGGTCCTCAATTTGAGAATACGGGACAAGAATTTCTCATTTGTTCTATGCCACTTTCTGGTAACGTACAAGTTCACCTTCATCCTCAAAGTATCTTTGTTCCCCATGGAGACACAGTTGTAGGAAACAAATGTCTTTTTAGAGAACATCTTAACTGATACAAAAGTCAGTATTGCTAAAGCTTTAAAGCTTGGAATGCTTGAATATAATTTCAGTAAAATATAAAGGGACATTCTCAGCTTGAGCTTTCCAAAGTTATTTACATTTGGAAAACACATATTTTCCAAACAGATGCATATTTTTGGAAATATATTGTTAGCTTCAGTCCTTCTAAAAAAATGTAGTACAAAAAGGAGTTTTGTGGTTTTCCAGTTGGAGTCTGTCAAGATTATTCTAGGATAAGTTTAGTGTTTAGGCAATAACTTAATAAAACCAGACTTCCTTCACTTTTTTTTGTTCCTGCACAAAGATCTGATGAGGACAGATGAGAATGAACAAAAAAAAATTTTTTTTTCTTTTTTTAGGATAATTTGGCATGAGACCAAATGAAGTTGATTTTTTATTATAAAAAACTTAAGTACTAACGGGGAAAAAATGCAATTTTTCTTACAGTGTCTGTAGATTGGAAAGTCTTACCATTTTACTGAAGTGCATGTGTTGTAAATAGGCTCCCCTTGTGCTGGGTGCTCCTTGAGCCTCAGCAGTTTCAAGTTAGGCACATGTAAGCTGCATCTCTTTCAAGGCCAGGGCAGAGCACCTGGCAGGGGGTGAGAAATCTGCTTTCATCTGACCATGTGTGCATAAAGGTGCTCTTAACCTGGACTTCTGTAAAGTGCAAAGATGACAGTCCTTAATGGAATAACCCTGTATTTTAATCAAATTTTGTGAGGGTACTTGAGAGAATAATTTTCCTTTAAAATCGTTAAGGCTTTTTACTGGAAAAATTTTTCCAGATCTCTTCCTACCTTTGTATGATTTTAGGAAATAACTAGCTGGTAATGGCCTGTTCATGAAGATTTATCAAGCAGATGATAGATACATATTTCTCAGGTAATCTATTCTAGATGTGATGCTATTAGAAATATTTCATTTCTTTAGGAAAGGTGCACAGGTAAAAACAAATTGCCAGTTTCTTCTTTCAGCCTAAATAAAAAAACTGAACTACTCATATTGTTAAAGGGTTGTAGCTTCAAGAATTGAAGAAATTAGATCTAGTAGCCCTGATGTAGACCTTGTAATTTTACACTCGTTTTTGTTTTTTTTTTTTCTGATGGGGTAGCTTTTGTTGCCTATTTTAGCTTTTGTTGCCTATTTTAGCTTTTGTTGCCTATTTTTGAGTGAGGGGTAGATTATTTCTCCATTATTATCATAATGACTTTCTGAGCCTTTTACTGAATTTAAGGGAGTTTAGACTGGTTCTTTAAATGTTTATTTGTTGAAGACTCAATATTGTTGCCGAGTCCTGTTTTTGAGGGGTATCTGTTTTGAAATAAATTATTGAAGAGTATTTAATACTGGGGGTCTTTTAGCCTGCTACAGCTTTGAATGTTTAATCACAATATTTATTGTCTTAAGGAGGGCTTTAAATTCCTCACTGCACCCTAAATAAGAATTTGACTGTTTATGTACATGTATGGAGCTTGTATTGACTGAGTTGATAGCAACAGCATTATATTTCCTTACTATTGCTAATTTAATTTCTCACTCCCTATTATCCAAAGAGTTCAAAATAGAAGAAAAGCATTAAGCTCAGAATGCTACATGAGTTAGAAATTTTTATATTGTAAGATAATTGAACCTTGTTACTGTATGAGCTTTGCACTAGTTAAGTGAACTGCACAACAGGCAATAAATGTCTCTGAAAAAACAAAAGTAAATCTGGTCTGCCTGTGATAGCACAATGCTCATTTTATGAGGCTGCATTTATTCTCATAATTGGATATTTCCTGTCCTTAAATGGCCATATTTTAATGTCTGCCACCTTTTTCTTTATTTTATTGCCCCTGTAGTGACCACATTGTCTTCAAAATCAATTGACATTTTATGAAAAGAGTTTGCTTGATGTTTAGTTTAGTGAATTAGTGGCATGTAGTACATATGCTTGTCATATTAAATAATCACTGTTGAAAGTGGAGTGTAGAGTTGCTAAGCTACACATGGAATATATAAGTTTATTTTATTTCAGTATTATTGATGTTTTCATTTAGAGAAAAAGTTGACAAAACTCAGTTTGGGTTGCCATAAGTATTCTGAAGAGTGCTTTTTCACAGAAATTCCTGTCCAATGCAAACTGGCATTACAGTTGACACAGACACTGAATTTCAATACATGCTCAAAGTTGAAAAGTTGAAACTTCTACACTGTACAAATTAAAGTATTAAAACATTTAAGCTGTGCACAAACTTATTGACACTAAGTTAATATTATTTTATTTAAAAGGTTTTAGTCAGCTCTTGGGTAGCAGAGATACATTTTTTCCTTCCTTTAACTTAAATTTCTGAAGCTGTTGCAAAGCTGTTTCTACTGTCCAGCATGTATGGAATCATTCTTCATTAGTTCAGTGTATGGTACATCCGGAGCTACTCAGAAGCGGATCAAGCAGGGCAGATTTGCTTCAGCCACTCTGCAGACACTCTGCACAGTGATATGTAGTTCCTGCTCATTACAGCCTGAGACATTTTTTTATATAGGGGGTTGTGGCATCAGATTTTACCCTGGGTGCCAATATGAGGATTTGACCCACGCACAGCTTACTGCATGAAAGCTGAGCCTTTCAGGAGGTGCATAAGTTGAGTTTTTCTATGCTTAGTAATCTTTATGCCATCACAATTAAATCCATATAGAATTATATTTTTTAAGAAAGAGGTTTTTACTGTTGTTAGGTGAAAACTGTTCATTTGACAACTTACGTTTTGCATGTATACAAGAGGTGTAATTACAAATAAAATTTGCATCTGAGCTGGATCTTTTAAAATTTTCTTTGCATTTGAGTAAGAAATATTAGCTAAACTTGTCTCTAGTGTCTTTACATTCTTATTAATATTGATTTTTCACTTCAAAACTGTTTGTGTAGCTTTTAAAAAAAGAAACAAAGGGCATGGGTTAAAGCTGAAGAGAAATTAAGATCTTTTTCAGAAGCTGGGCAGGAGTTTCTGCTTACTTGGATTTTTTTGTCCATTTGAATGCAAGTGAGCCAATGTGCTCAATGTGCTCTTTTTTGGTGTGAGAAAAACCACATGCTGATGGAGAATGTATGTTTCTAGGTGCCAGATTGACCTGTCGACTCTAAGTAAAGAACAAACCCACAAGTTGGAGATGTCGCTAGAGGAAGGAGAGGGATACCTGGTGTTGCTGGTCACTCTCACAGCATCAGCTGCAGTCACTATCTCTGACCTCTCCATCAACTCCTTGGAGGACCAGAAGGAGCGAGAGGAGATTCTGAAGAGATATGTATGTAGTTCTCTTTCATCCTTTGTTAGCAAAATATTGGCCTGTATAAAAAATAATTAGTGAGGGGAAAATCTAAATATATCTCTTCTATTCTAATCACCCTTAGCCAATGACAATTACTTAAAATAGTTATTAATATACAAATAGTTACAGCCAGAACAGGTAACATCAAGAAGGCTGCAAATGCTCTTCATACAATAACATTATTTTTTATATGGTAGTTGAACTGTTTGATAAGGTGTCACATAATGAAGATAATTTTACAGCCTTACAGATGATTTTTACAAAACACAAAGTGGCTAAAGGATCATTCAGCAACTCAACAGTTTCTAGTGATTGTTTATGCCAAACAATTTGAGGTACTAATGAATGGTTTTCAGCTTTTTTTGGGATCATCTGTTAAAGGGTAAGAAAACTTATCTTTTTGTCTTAAAATATTAAGAGGCTGGAGCACATAAAAATGATTGTTTCAAACAATGTTTCCATTTTAAAATATTCTAAAATAGATTATTTTAATTTCCCAGCGTCCTTACATTACACAGAGTCTTTGTAATTTTATCAAAGCAACAGAGAGGGGAGCTCTTACTCCAGCATTTGCTAATACCTAAATCACTAAAAGTAACTGTCTCACTACACATGAAGAAAGAAAGAAAAAAATGCTATTTCCACTTGCAGTTACAAAGATTTTATTGTACAATTCTGCCAGGTGTTTAGAAGGGCTTCTCTAGACACTCAGCCATTAAACCAACCTCTGACTATCAAAGAGGCTGCTTAATTTATTTTTGAGATTTTAAAATATTCCTATTCCATGACGGACATCCTTTCAATAACTGAATTTAATAAAGATGTACCTTATCAGGCTGTGCAGATAACATGAAGTCCTAGCACTAATGCTGTACAATATTCTTCAAACAGATTAGCAGGATGTGTGCTTCAGCAAATTTATTCTGTCTATCTCCACTGAATCAGCTGTCTGCTAATGCTTGTACAACTCATACACCAATAGTGTTATTATCATAAACACAATTTAATAGAGGTGACTTAGTGAGGCTAAATGTAATATTCCAAAATGAATTGAAGGCTAAGGTATTGTCCACCACCTCCGAAAAATAATTACAATTAAGGGAGTTACTGTACATTTTGGAATCCACCAAGACAGTCTGTGGTTGTCAAAATAGAGGTCCGCAAGTAGAATAATTTTTTGATGTATATGTTTTTGAGGTGCCATAGTTCCTGCTACCAACAGCAACAATAACATATTTCTGTGGCTTATTCAGTGTGATGACATGGCAGACAAGTGATACTGCTGGTTTTGATTATTTCAGTAGCAGTATAGAAACATGTTGCGACTGTACTGTTAATCGTTTTTCCTAAATTCTCAATTCTTTGTAAAGCATAATTATGTGGCATAAAATTGATCTGGTTTATTCTTGTTTCCTGTAAATACAAGGATATGAGTCTGTTCATATATTTACATTGGTGTATGCATTTGAAAACATTTACATTTTAGAAAGATGTTCATATCACAGGGGTATGAGTTTCTCATTATGTGTTTCTGAAAATTGTTGCATTTGCATACTTTTTTGATAAATTCTACTGTTTTTATTAAAATTACCAGCAGAAGAAAGAAATTACCAGGATTAACTTAATTCAAGTAGTTTATTTTTACTGGTGTTAAATTTGACTTTGGTATTCATACCTGCACTTCATAACCAATACAAAGACAGCATGTGTAATTAGCAAGATGTAGAGTTCCCTGTTGAGTGGCTGTTTTTTTGGATTTATTTCCTCTTAAAAAAATCTAGCTTCCACTTGAGAAATGTATTTTGCACCCTTTCTACAGCCAAAAACAGTTAATGAGCTGACCTTGCCATCAGATCAAATAGCCTTAGAAAATAACTCTATTACTGTCACTTAACCATTTGTAGCTGAACATCAGAGCCTTACAAATTAAATAGGCATTACTGTTTGAACTATTATTTTACCATGATTGTCTGAAAAGATTAATTCCTTTTGGGGTGAGGAGGGGGGCACATTAACGGGTACAGGCCAAGAGAGATTGTATGACCTTTTCAGAGCTGGTGTGCTGAACTCATGGTCCCCCTTGTCACAGTTTAAAAAGCAGAGGAGCTAGTTTAGAGAAGTTGTTAGCATTCCATTTTTATTATGACATTTCACAGTCATCCGATTTAATGTCCCTTGACCAGATTGTCCACTGTGAGACGATGGGCTTGAAATGTTATTTAGAGCATTGATAAAAGGTGAGCAGTTCTAAGATGACAGCGAGTCATGAGGCTGGTGGTGTGACATTAATTTTCTCCATAACAGAGATGGAATAAGACGTCATGGTGACAAGCTGTCAATCAGTACTAGCCCCTCAGTGTATCTCAATGCCATGGGATGGGGTATTGCTTCTTCCATAATAGAGCTGAACTGAGATGCTCTTCCTGACAGCTGCTGCAGCCATACAGAAAATATATTATACAGCCTTTCATTAAAAAAATAAAGAAGAGTCATCTCCAGAGCATTTCAATCTTTTCCCATCTATTGAGGGCTGAAAAGATTCCCAGCAAATAGTAGATTCTTCTGCTATGGAAATTCTAGGCTTCAGAAACTATGCGGATTTTTGATACCTTCAACAATAATCATAAATAAGAAGGCAGAATGTCATCTGATAAATCATTACTTAAAGTTATGTATTTAAAGTAATGTGTTAAAGTAATTTGCTTCTCCAAGAGCCTCTGTTGTGGCATTGTATTCATTTTCATCAGTCTACCCAGTCAGTATGTGCAGTAAATGAATCTAGGCCAGCTACTTTCTGGAAATAAAAGTTCAAAAATTCTGTGGGATTCTAAAAAAGGTGGCAAAGCAAAATACAGCGCTGGCACCCTTTTGAAGAGTGAGCTAACCAGGATGAAATTTGGAAAAAGGGACTGTATGGCAACATAGGAAGTGTCTGCCGTTGCTTGTCTTGCTTTGTATTCCCTTTTTGCTTTGTTTTATTTCTACAACTTGATGTTTGTGTTGGTTGTTGGGAAACTTGTGTAGACTGTGGAAACATTTTTGTAAGTCCTGTAATTTTCATCATGTGTATTACAGCAGAATTATCTCTGTTCTGGTACTAGTTCTGATAAGAAGCTTCCAAACCCTGATCATCATTGTAATAAATGAGGGGTGCAAAGATGCTTTTGAATTACACCAGTGTTATCTGTAATACCATGTCTGCTGCCCTCAGCTTGTAAACACATAAACAAAGGGTTAAGTGTGTGCTGATTAAAGTTGACCACAAGTATTTTGAAGTCATATTTATGATGACTTATTAAAATTGGTAAAAAATTATTCACTGTTACCCCGTTATAACACAATGCATGTAGGTAACATATGGGCTACTACACTGAATTGGATTTTTAAGTTCAGTGTAGGAAGGTCAAATCTTCACTGTAAACAGTAAATGGTCAGCTGGGGTTTGTGAAATTAGTGTCAGTGATTTAACTGCTAGAATTGTCTTATTAATTAGAAAGACAGGAATGCATATTTTATGTTTAACCTCTTAATGGGTAGATTTTCTGCGCAAAAGCATACTGGTTTTGCAAGCTGACATTTAATATTTCATTTAAGCAGCATCTGTGGTTTTTAGATTCAGTGATGTAATTTATTCTTGTTTCGCATAATGTAAATTTTGCTTTCGTAATAAATTAAGGAATTGTTGATTTGATGTTTTCCCTGATGCTTGCTTTTTGTAGAAATCTGGACATTGTCATAGGCAGTAGAAAAAGTTTCGCCACACTAAAACTTTAGAGAGGACCATAGGCATTAAATAGATTAGTCCAGATTCTAAAATATTTCAAAATAAAGGTATGGGCTAGTATTTATGAATTAAATTTGCATTCAATGTTTTATCATTTAAAACTCTGCAAATTTTAAATAGTACTAAAAGCTAGAGTTTGATAATATTGGAGCCATTAGAGTGCAAATGTGAACATAGTTCTTGCGAAATAATTCAGGGAAAGGAGTTGTTTCATTTTTCCTGTTAATTTCTTTATATACTGCTATAATTTCAAATTTTGAAGTACAGTTATTCCCATAGTATTAGGGGATTAATTCACTAGAATTTGTGTTAATCAATCGTACTCTAACTCTTCCTTTGTAATTTTCATTGATAAGTTAAAGTTGCAAAATATAGGAAGACATGCAAAGAACTGCAAATTCTTCAGCAAATAATATTTAAAAGTCTGAGTATTGAGGCAGAATTACAGCAACTTACATTTAGGCGAGGGAGGAGAGTATTAATATTGCTTTTGGTTTGTCTCTTTTGCAATCCAGATTTATTTTTCTTTTTATTATTTTTTAGAGTCCAATGATGATGTTTCATAACATCAGCGATGTGGGATTTCTTCAGGTGAAGGTCATCAGGGCAGAAGCATTGATGGCAGCTGATGTCACAGGCAAGGATTCATTTAGTTTCTGTGACACTGAATACCATAGTAATATTTGGTGGTTTCAGAACTGGGGAAAAAAAAATGCTAAAAAAAAAGTTCATCTACAGTTTATGTTCTGTTTGTACACTTCCATCTCCTGCTCATTAATGAAAAAATCTAAACGCAAATGTAAGTTTTGTAAGGCAGCAAGTCATTCTTATGCTAGCAGAGCCCTAAGTAGATTGTTTCTGATAAAGATGGAATATACATTTTTCTCCATCAGACATCCTATAAAAATTACGTAGAAGAAACTTCTTTTATTTTACTAGATGAAACCATACAAAATTATCAACATTAAATTCCAAAGTACAAGGCAAATAAAAGGTTCCTGACTTAGATATTCCAGACTTAAAATTGTTGCCAAAAGGACCACTTGATATCTGTCTGATATTTAGCAAGGCTGCTGTTGGTTTCAGACATTTCAACTGAATGCAATTTGCTGTAGCTACTGCTTATCTTTACAAGATAAGGGAAATAAGATTTTTTTTCTTAATTTTCTATTTTATGTTGTAAGTTAAATGGTTAATTTGACACACTGCTTTGCAAAATAAAGAAAAAGTATTTCAGCCATACTGACCATATTTCTCCAGCAATGTCCAAGTTATCTTCTCTAGGTACAATCACCTTCGTACCGCATGAGTTGAACAGAGCAAAATGAGCTGCATCTGTGTCAGAAAATAGCCATTTCTGATTTAAAAAATGATGAAAATTTTTAAAAATGGGAAGAAAGTAAAAGGAAACTGGAATAAATGTTCTGTTAAAGGAGCAGCTATAGAGTAACTTATTCAATTTTTAGTAGTTTTGTGACAATTAACATGACTACCAGTATTTCAGACAAGGTAATAGTGCAAACATTTTATCAGTGCAAACATTTGATCATCCAGCTTGTGGCACACAAAATAACAGATTCTATTTTTGGTGAGGTTGTAGAAATGCTTCTAAAGTCTGGTTTGACATTATAATCCAATGTTTTCTGAACACAGAGAGAGAGATTAAGTCAGGGATAATTTAGTCCCTGACCTCGTTCAGTCTTCAGCTTTTCCAAATCAACATATTTGTGCTGGTTGAACAGTATTTTTGGAAATATATTTGATTCAATTAAAGATGTATAGAGCTACCAAAAATTTTCAGATATTGTATGTAGGATGACAGACAGGAGGATGGAAAGAACACTCACTATCTTCCCTTGTTAGTAAGAGAAAAAGGGTTGGTACAGCAGATGTATTTTGTAAGATGGCTGCGCATTCCAGATGTGACAGAAATCTTGTATATTCTGGACCAAAGTAACTGGGAATTTTGAAAAGAGGATGAAGTGGTTTTATTATCTGCTGTTGTAATTTATAGCTATTTTTAGTAACTTGTAGTTATGTACAGGTCATTCATTTAAAATTAAACTTTGAATAGTAATAATGAGAAATAAAGTAGGTGTTTGGTGGTTGTCAATAAATCATGTTTGCAAAAAACTGTGTAAAAACTTGACCCACATTTGTTCAATTAAGTAATTAGTGTGGAGAGTGCTGTCATCAGTGGTGTTACTTGCATTACTAAGGATTGCTTCTATGAGTAAAAGCCAAGGACTAGTTTGCTCTTCTTACTGTAATGTGTTTTCAGAGTTAATCTTTTGCCCCTGAGTCTGAAAAGTGGCTGGAACAACTATATCCTATCCATGTGTTTTGCTCTGTTTCCTGCCTGCTAAACATATCCCATTTCATTTCCAGGAATCTTTTCATGTGAAATAATAAACCAAAATTTATTAATTTCAGCTGAGTAGATTTTTAAAATCCTTAATATTCCGTTCTTAAACATAAGCACAGAGGGAAAAAGATTTCTATAATCTTTTAAGTAGCTATCAATGCTGTGTGATTGCAGGGATCTTTTTTTCCCTTTCAAAATGTGAAATTTTTTCTTTGTCCCATGCATCGAACAGCATTGTAATACTGTACTAACTCTGTGTGAATAAAAAGCAGTTGAGACTCCTGTTGAATGAATGAGTAAAAAGCACAAATTACTTTTTAATGAAACCCTCAATTCTACTCCTTTCCTCAGAAAGCTCATAGCCTCCCTCAGTGGAATGCTAGTAGGTCACTTTAGTTAAGCCCTTAATAAACTGTTGATAGCCAAGAGCAGGGGTTTTTTTCCACTTTCAATAGCCTAATGTTGGACAGTGCACTTCAAATGCACTGTTTTTTTAAAAAGAGAGTGATTAAGGGTGGTGGTTCAGGTGTCAGCTTACAATCCCCCTACATGTACATGCAATGAATAATGTGCCAGGATAAGCTGAAATTTCAGTTAAGTTGTAGGCAGGGGAGCAAGAAGACATTACCAGTTTTGAAATGCTGTGCTGCTGGAACATGCCATAAGTGGATATTAAAAATACCCCAGAAAAGTACAGTCAGAGTTCTCACTCAACCCACTTGCCAGGAGATTTATGAGAGGAAGAACCACTGAGGGATTGACAGACTCCCCACCGGTGCTTGAAATCTTAACTTGGTTTTTGCAAGAGCTGAAAAATAGGATATCTTTCAGGACCAGGACCTTTGGGAAAATTATTTGGTGTCTGAGGTTGTTTTTGCCAGAAAAACAGTGTAGTTCCATGATCAATACACAATTTCAGGGATTCCACCAACTCAAAATTATATTCTGTTGGAAATTGTGGCCACAGCAAATATACCTTTCTGGAAATCATGTATTAGTTAGTAAAAATCCTTTGGAAGTGTAATCTAATGAATGGGAAGATATTGAGAATGAAGTTTAATTTTTCCTTCTCTGTCTGAGAAGAAATTTCCAATTGAGTCTTCCATTGTGTTTTAGCTATTCAGTACATGGCTTTTTTTCTCCCTAAATCCTGAGTTAGGAGGAGTTATATTCCTGTTTCCCTAAGTCTTTGCTTGCTTGTGATATCTCAGGCAGACTTTCTCAAGGATTTGGCTTCTTGTAGAGCCCTGGCAGGATAGGTGCTGTGCCTACAGTGACATCCCTTGATAGGAAGAGATTTTCTGGTGGTTCAGTAAAACCTAAAGTATAATGGACTCATCATGACAGTTGGCTTCTGACATTATACACATGGGTTTCACCTAACCCATATAAATTACAGGTAGTAAAGCAATAAGCCCTTCACTGTGACATAATTTAGGTTTAGGCAATAGTCAGATATATCTAATCCTTCTGCAGTGTAGTCAGATATAGGTGGTGGGTGGTTATGGAAGGCTGCTGGCTTTGCAAGGCAGTGTCTGCATCTCTTTTACTGGGGCAGATATGTTGCTCCTTGTGTCATGAAATAAAATTCAAAATCTCTACCTTATCATTCATAAAAACTAAGCAGGTTGGGAAAAGATGTGCTGCAGGTTTGATTGATTTCAGTAAAAGTGCTGTGCTTTTAAGGAATAATGTTTAGGAACTCAGATTCATTATCAAGAACAAAACTCAAGCTCCATAAGATGGCCTGACTAGAAAATAGCTTGTTTTGTAGTCTTTGGGTTTAATTAAGATGTGTTCAATTCTAGCCCCCTGGCTCTTTCTCCCCCTACCCCCATCCTTCTTGCTGTGTCACAGACCAGTGATCAGACGCTTTCAGATGGTCCAGCCCATGACTTTGACCTTCTGCGAGGTCTTGTGTTCCCTGGGGAACCGTTCAGCTCATGAGGTCTGATTTCACACTTCCAGGATGCCTTGGCTCTCATAACAATGACAGGGAGACAAAGCCCTTTAGAGTGGGCCGCATGGGGACTTGTTTAAATTGGAAACTAGAGAGGAGTCAAGGAACAAGGTTACAGGCTACAGAATAGTGCTTTTAATAAAGAGCTCACAGCTCTGGTTCAGCTCAAAGAGGGCTACCTCTGTACAATTAATTGAGACATTTATCTGGAGCATCTTAGGCCTCCACTTTCTCACAGAATTACATGATAAATATCAGCTAAGAGGCAAATGAAATGTGCATGAAATGAATTTTTAACACTTTGATTACTGTGTCTTCAGTCTTCATTAGATGTAAATCCATTTGTATTTCTGTCCTCATTATTAATCAATTGTCTGTGTTTTTTCCGAGTACTGTGATTTCAGAACCTTATATATCACAGAGATTTTACTAAAGAGCTCAGTGATATTTAGGTTTGTTTCCAAAAGCTTTTCAGGCTTTTCCTCCTCTAAAGAAGAGAATCTAAGGACAGAAAATGAGTCAGACTTTTGTTTTCTTCCTTTTTTTCTTTTTTTTTTCATTTAATATCTGGAATTCAGCCTCTTTTCTAAGAAAATTCCATGTTAAAATTTTGCTAAATGTAAATGTCTTTTCTAAAATCTGTCCTGCTAAACTGTTCTAACATCACCTGTGCAAAAATGGTCTTTGAAATGGTTCTTCAAATGCTAGGAAATGTCAGAGTGATGAACACAAACATTAAATTCACAAAGGTATGGAAGCCCATGCGTGTAAAATTGGAGGAATAAATTCAGAGGCCCTTTGGACATACAGTTCCAAAAATAATTTGCTCTGCCAATTAGTGCAAACAGATTTTAATATACACTTGAACTATCTCCACAAAGTACAAAAATCTACTCGGTGGGCAGAATTCTATGGTAGATAAAATATTTCATCAGGTCCTGTCATATAGGTCACCTGAAGACTTTGGTCCAATATCATGTACAGGAAAGGTACTGGGTTTTAAGTACCAGTTCTAGCTAGTAATAGAAAAAAGAGGATTTAAAAAGATATTTTTGAAAGATATTTGATTAAAAGATATTTTTTGTTAACCATAACATTTGTAATTTTACATACAATGAAAGGATGACTTGTGATTAATTTTTTTTTAAGTATTCTGTGGAGATGAGTTTAACTTGATTATGGCATTACACTGACTTACCTTGTAAGATACATCAAGCATTCATGGGATCAGTGTGTTGCAACATGTTTGCATCATCACAGATAGAGTGGAATTATAACTCCCATTTTAAAAATGGAAAACTAAGAGAAGTTA